ATGATGTATTTATTGAACCAACAATTGACTTCACATGAAACTAAAACAAATGAATGATTATAACAGAAATGGGAATCATAGTGGATTCACACTGCACAACCAGCAGTCAGGCTGCAGATCATTCAACAGGAACCCCAACACTTTAAGAACAAGCTGCTCACAGACAGGGCGCCCTCTTGTGGCAGCACATGCTCTAAATATTGAGAGATGTATGTAAATAAAACAAAGGATGACACAAAAACAATGTAGGTGCCGTTAAGTAGTGTCAGTGACTGACTGATTAACACAAGTCCATGAACATGAGCACACTTATTCAACTCAGAAGCACGGAGTAATTTGCAATACTGTCTATTCTGATAATATAAAAACAAATCAAACGTTCAAACAATACCCCCTGTCCTGGTGAGCTCCCCTTTATCGTCTTCCCTGCTCCCCTGCACCACCCAGTCGTTCAGGAGAATATTACAACAGATTAACAAATAAACAATACAGATAAAATGGCTGCAACAAAGAAGATGTATTTATGATCACTCACTGAAACTTGGCTGATCCCCAAACAACATGTCAGTTTAAATGAGTCATAGTCAACTCCTCTATTTGTGTTACACAGACAGGGGGATCGGAATACATACACACCTTTACACCCACTTATATGTGTGTCGGACACAACTATACATATATACACATTTAGAGGCAAATGTAGTGCTTTAAACAGATAAAGCCATTATCGTGGGTGACTTCATATTCATGTTGACAATATTAATGATAGCCTTACTATTTAATTTAACTCTCTATTAAACACATGTAAAATGTGTGGTATCTGCCTATATAAATCATTTTTGATTGATTATTTGTACATTTTCCGTAGCAGGATTGATTTCATACATTTATTTACTCACTGAAAAGCACAACATGTTATAAAGACGCACCTACACCAACTGATCTGTACTTTACCGAAGATATTTTACTTGAATCTTAAGTCCATAAAACAGACAACGTTTAATCTGCACCTTGAGGTTTTGTTCAACTATTGAATATTACAAAGTAAAACATTCTACTACATCTGGTTAAACAACATAATGCATAGACACAAAACTAAGGGTTATAAAAAATACTCACAAAGTGGAAATGTCTCAATGAGTGCTAGTTCTTTCTGAGTGGCTTAGATTGGACCCTGTTTGAGAATTATCATCCGGAAATCTGCTGTTCAATGAAGAGGACGTGATGCTCTATCGGCTGACGTGATGATGATCATGAGCAGTGTTTCCGCCAGGGGGCCTTCTTGCCGTCATTTGACGCCCTTATTCAGCTCGGGACGCCCTGAACGCGAGCCGAGGGCGTCCAAAAATATTAATAATTCGAGAGAAAAACGAGAGTTTTTATCGCTAGAAATTACGAAAAGGAAAAAGGACATCCCGCTGTTGGAGGGGCCAAGGAGTCTGGTGGGATTCTTTTCGGAGTATTGAAGATCGTTTCCCCAACATCGAAGGTACCTGCTACAGGACAACATGGAACGTGCGCGATTTGGAGGCGATGAGCGGTGCTAGTGGAGCACGCGCTTGAGCTGCGAGACCCAGAGCCTCGCAGCGGCGAAACTGAGGCTCCTAGGTAAACTGTGGTAACATGAAGACCCGTTTGGGAGCCGACACAGCCGTCGCTTTAAGAGAGCCGAGCCAAATGATCCGGCTCACTAAAGCAAAAAGACAGTAATTATAAGGGACGGCCTTATAGATACTGATATAGATAAAACAACCCCCTCCCCCCCCGCTCTCGGAGTGGACGCCCTCTCAGCCCTCGTCTTGCGGAAACACTGATCATGAGTCAGTATGAAGATCATTGGATGGTGCACTTGCTTTTGTCTTTCAGTTCTAATTCAAGGCTTTTCTTCACGTGTTCTCTTTCCCGCAAGCGCCTGCACATATCATGGTTTTCTTCAGCTTGTTTTCTGGCTTCCTTTTCATATTTCAGACACATTTTGACCAGTTCTTTTTGAAAGTTTTCCTCCATTACTTTTTTCTTCCTCTCTTTTTCTCTTCTTAGTTTTCCTAATTTTTCTTTTCCCTGCTCGTACTCTTCTTGCAACTTTTGAAGTCTTGTTTGCTCCTCTTGTCGTCTCTTTTCATTTTCTTCTTGTTGTTTGATCCGCTCTGCTTTTCTCTTCTTCTCCCATTCTTCCTTTTGCTTTTTGATCTCTTTGTTGTGCTCTCTTTCCCCGCCATGTTTTTGCTCCCATTCCTTTAGTTGAATTTCTTCCTGCCTTTTCTTCTCCTCCTCCTCTTTCATTCTCTTCTCCTCATCTCTCCTTCTCTCATCTCGTTCCTTGGTGATATTTTCCTCCATTTCTATAAGCTGTTTGGCTCTCTGCTCACTTTCATCTCTCTCTTGTTTCATTCTTCTCATCCATGTTTCCATTTCCTCCTTGTGTTTTCGTTGCAGCTCCTCCCTCTCTCTCTGCATTTCTTCTTCCTTCTCCTTCAGGATCTTCTCCACTTCCTTCTTTATGGCCGCCTCGGCCTCTTGAAACATCTCTGAGGTGAAGCAGCTGCCGCCATTTTCCTTCAGCATGTTGTTGGTCTTCTCCATCAGCTCTCTGACTTGCCTGCGGTCGGTCTGATCTCTGTTATTGAAGACTTGGTATCTCCCTCCACAGTCATTTATCAGTTTGTTCCAAAAGGTCATCAGATTGTATGTAACTCTCTATTGTTTGTTCCTCAGATCATCTCCTCTGGTGAATATAGGGATGATGAAATCTCCAGATCTCTTGCCAAAAATGTTTTGATCAGTTCCACAGTGTCTTTTTCCTCCTGGGTAAATCGTCCGATCGACAGCACCAGTAAGAACACATGAGGTCCAGGAGACAACAAGCTGATGCATTTCACCATCTCCTCTTGAACTTCATCATTGGACAGTGTTGTGTCAAACAGACCGGGGGTGTCCACCACAGCGACAGGACGTCCATCAATCTCTCCTGTTGCTTTCTTGCAAAGCCTGGTCACTGACTTTGAGCTGAGAGTTGATTGAAAATATTTTCCGCCCAAAATGGTGTTTCCAGTTGCACTCTTCCCACTGCCAGTCTTCCCAATCAGCACCATCCTGAGACACTCTCTGTTCTGACTTTCATCATCATCTCCCTCCTGACTTTTCTTTCTAACGTCTTGCAGTTCAGCTTTAAGTCTTCTGATAGTGTTATCCAGCTCTACAACCTTCTCCATCTGAGCCTTGGTAAACATGTCCTTTGTAAAGCTCATAGATCCTGTACCTCTCATCTCTTGCACAGCATCCAACAGCTCTGGGATCTGCTGCTGGTCCTTGATGTTGAGAACAACATGTCTTCCTCCACATCTCTGACGGAGCTCCTGGAGGTCCTTGTTCTCCTTTAGTAAGTTAACAACAGCTGGAGCTGTAGGATCTGACTCCACAGTGGACAGAATCAAGGTGAAGTCGTTGACTCGAGAGCTGAATGTGTTCTGGAGGGTCTCTAACTCTCCCTTGTCTTCATCAGTGAGGGGACCCACAGGTAGGACCAGGATGAAGGCATGGACGCCTTCAGGATCACAGAGGGAGATACACCTGAATGATTCCTCCATCACTTCCTCCTGAGGTGTTCCACACAAAGCAGGGAGCTCCACCAGGGAAACCCTTAGTCCACACACCTCTCCCTGATGTTTGACACACTCTGAGGAGTTGGAGACTGAAGGAAGCTCTCTCTGACCAAAAATGGCCTCGGCTGCTGAAGCTTTCCCTGCTCCTTTCCTCCCACACAGAACCAGGTTTAAAGCTGGTTTGGCCTCAGACACTGAAAAGGAAAACACATAATTAGAAAAACTACCCTTCAACAAAAAACTTAATTGGGTAATTAACCAATGAAAGAGTAATATATTTTAAAGTAAATGTGTCAGCTGTTATCTTGAACCGAGCAAAATCAACAGAGAGCTTGCATACATACAGTATACATTAAATAAAACAACCCTCAATCTACAAAACTGTGAATTTAGATGTTAATTTACATAAAATAATGTTGACTCAGTTCTGTTAAACTTACTGGAAGGTGGCAGTAATCCATAGCTGCTCCTCCGCTTCACAGGTTGCAAATCTTCTGACACTAAAATAAATCAGAACATTCACAACATATTTGATGAATACTTGAGGAAGGAATGGTTGTTCTTTTTAAATGACTTATGTTACAATAAACAGCAGATTCACATAAATGTTACTAAAGTACAGAGGTTATCATTCTTTATATTAATTAACAATAATACATTCTGAACTCACCTGTTGATGCTGTCGCCATAATGTCACTGCAGGATAAATCTACTTGAGCTGGAAACCAAATGCTTGGTTGAAGAACCTAGGGAGAGGAGATGTAAATGTGTCAGACTCTCAGTTCATAACAGAAATAAAGTCTACTCATAGTCTACTCTTTGTATATAAAATCAAGTTAATCAAGTTTGAAAATAGGTTTGCTGTTAATTTGACAAAACAAAACACTTTCTTAACAATCTGTGTTTTAGAGACAAAAACTATTTTCGAATACTGGGAAATAACTACTTTATGTTTCTATAAACTGTATTTAAGTGATAAGAAGTTTGGTATAATCATTAGGTTTCACGATGAGTTTGTTTTTAAAAATATGGTGATGTTAGTGATACAAAGTTAATGTGTTACTAAGGGTGGAAAAAGCTGCAACTCGGATCAGGTTTTTATAGCTGTCGTAATGCTTATCAAAAAGGTTTTAACTTTCTTGTTTGAACTTCAGACTCCAATCTTATCATTTATAGTTATAGAACAATAAAACACATGAATACGTTTCTCAGTCCCACTACATTTCAAACACAGTCGCCCCAAAAATTATTTTGATTCCTTGCAAAAATGAATATATTCCTTTAAGCTCTGCTGTACTAATGTGGTGACTTTACAAACAGTGATTCTGCTGCAGCTAATCACCTGAGTAGTACATGTACCTCAGGGTTAGTAACAGTCATTACACTACATTACACATGTCCTTTGTTAGACAATTTTATCCAAAGAGACTTACACACATTCAATACTGTGGAAAATCCCCACAGGAGCAATTTGGGGTGAAGTGGCCAGGTACACAACGACATGCTGAAAGTGGGGATGGAACCAGTGCTCCCCTGATCAGAAGATCAACACACTAAACAACTGAGCCTCCCCTAGTCTTTACTCAACCAACTAAGAATGACTTCTTTCTTACAATTATACACTTTAGTTTTTTTAGTTTATTCAATTAATAATTCAGGTGTGTCTACTCACCAGGTGAGATCCTCTTTGCTTCCATCCGTGAAATGTCAAACTCTGCAATGAAGCCGAACTTGAGACGACCTTTGCTCTCAGACTGAGCTGAGCACGTTATAAACTTCTGTCCGCTTAGTTAATATTTAACAATCACAGTTTTATATAATTATACTATACTGTCTGCTGGAGGTATAAAATATGATCACAGATAACAATTCTATGTGTAGCCTCTCTAGTCTCACAACAAGAACAGAGGCACTAACATCTACCTAGGTCCGAATAGTTGTATGCCGTGAATAACTCTGGGAAGAGTTAGATTTAGTTTAATATTTTACAATTGTATTGCAGAAACATACATCAACATTCAGATTAAATTGTGCCCACAATGTGAAAATAAATGTAAAATAAAGAATAGAGCTCTTTAACATACAAATAAAAGTACTCCTTTCTATCATGAATCTTATAATCATCTTTAGTTAGCACGTTTCTACAATTTAAACTAGAAACTAAAGCATATTTCATTTATAATTAAATGATTTACTTTAATCACCAATGTGTATTTTAACTTGTGATACATAACTTGTATTTTCAACCAACACATCTTA